GGCCCGGTTTCACCAACGCGAGTTAATCTAATCGGTCGGTTAACTTGACAGGGTGCCAACATAAAACTTCTTTATTAACCAAGAAAATAGGTTAATAAAGAAGTTTTATGTTGGCACCCTGCTAAGTTAACCGACCGATTAGATTAACTCGCGTTGGTGAAACCGGGCCTAAGGGCCAGTTTCACAAACGTGTTAACCAGAGTTCAGTCAACGCCCTATCTTTTTCTATCTTGTTCTCTAAGAAGAGACAGAGGATCAGTTAACCTTCGGTTAGCAGTTAACCGACGTTTGTGAAACTGGCCCTTACTCGGGTTTGGGCAGGCCGATTGAGACCCGAGCGACCCGAGTAACCCGGGTTGCTATTAGAGACAGTTCGGGCAAGACATGAAATACATGAATCATTGAGAGGCGTACGCATGTCCGACCCAAACCTAACTCCGAGCGCTTCTTCGTAAGCACCCGAAGTTACAGTTATAGTTGCTTTTTTTTTGGTAACTCTAACTTAACTTTGTTACTGCCTCTCCATTTCTAACTGTAACTTAACTCAGTTACATTTTTTTCCGTAAACTGAGGAATATTGCCATTTAAACGCGAATAAAGCTTGCGTTCCCTTTAATTTTGATTCACGTGAAAGTTTACAGACGGCGCTGCGAGCTCAGTGATGAAACAGCTGATTGAGCGCCGCCCTTACGGCCGGACCATTCGATTCGCCGACGAGCGCTATTCGTGCGATTGACCGGCGTGCTCTCCCACACGTGCATTGTTATAACGTACATAAACATTTTGCCGACATGGCAGGTAAAACAAAATTTGTTCGTCTGACTCGGATGTCCAGGGTGTTTCAGCCGCTGTCGAGCGAGAGCGGAGAGAGGGCGGAAGTTATATCTAAAAGTCATAAGGTACTTGTTTAAGCATTAATTAAAATGAAAACGCTAAGGTTTCTTGGACAAAGTGTCTTGTGACACTTGTTCTCGCTCTTTTTTTAAATGTATTTATTGGCTACAAGAGATAGAACGTTTCTAGACGCAAAGAACACCTTGTAGATTAGGCTTGAAGGTTCCTTTAAGTTTTATGCACTTCATAAAAGTGTCCGAATTGGTTCTTCTTCAACTTGATTTCTAATCTTTTCAATGTGATTTCAGCTGATGCTCAATTATGGAATCATCAAACCAGTCAGCGTTGGCATGTTCGCCCTGCTGCCATTAGGGGTGCGGATTTTCAATAAGTTAATCGAGCTCGTCGACAAAGAAATGGCAAACATCGGCGCGGAGAAAATATTGCTCCCAGCGTTAACTCCCGCCGCGCTGTGGAGGAAAACTGGCAGGTATGACTCCGGTAAAGCAGAGCTGTTTACACTTACGGATAGACACAAGAAGGAATATATATTGAGCCCGGTGAGTAAGAAGTATGCCACGTTTCCGTACCAAGTTTTATTTTGGGTAAAAATTTTAGGTCCGAGTCTTTTGGCGAGAGACAAGGAGAGATTGAAAAGTTTCTTTCTAGAGTAGCAAAGCTGATGACGCGCTATTTCAATTAATAAAAAGTATTTCAGAGCTCAATAGAAATAGTCTTTTGCGTCGAGTGTGTAACGTGTTCAGTTTTGACGTTTCAGCCGAAAGTACATGAATGCTAACTTTGTTAACGTGAAAGGGCGCTCTTGAATAAACTTGTGTCATTGCAGACATATGAGGAAGCAATCTGTGATGTGGTATCGTCGGCAGGAGATCTCTCCGCTAAATCATTACCGTTGAAGTTGTATCAGATTTCGAGCAAATGGCGGGACGAGATGAAACCACGGCATGGTTTCCTACGTAGCCGAGAATTCATCATGAAAGATTTATATACGTTCGATTCTAGCTTGGTCAACGCGCGACACACGTACGATTTAGTCTGCGAGTCTTACAACAATATTTTTAGGCAGATTGGTATAAAGTACACGAAAAGTAATTGACACTTGTAATTACATACCGGAATCGTTATAGACGCATAGTTGTAACGTTGGAGAGGCCGTGTGGGATTAATTGTTGATGATTATTAAAAGGCATAGGTGATGTGGGGACAATCGGAGGCCTGATGTCACACGAATATCATTATGCGTCCGACATTGGCGAAGACACGATACTTCAGTGCCCCTCGTGCAATTTATCCATTAATCAGACCGTTTCCACCACGACGAGTTGTCCAGAATGTAAAAGCGAACTGCAACGACACGCTGCTGCCGAGGTAACGTAGGGATTTCTATGAAAAATGTTGTTTTAAACAATTGACCGAGGATGCAAGGCTCACGCAAAAGATATGTTGCATTTTCATGAAACGGTGATCGCAGGTGGGGCATACATTTTTATTAGACGTAAAGTATTCGCAGCCATTACAAGCGACGTACGTGGAGCACAGTAACGAAGGGAGAAAATCGAAACCTTTGGTAATGGGCTGTTTCGGTCTCGGATTAAGTCGTATCATTATGTTAGCTGTCGAAATCTTGTCGACGAATAACGAAATAAGGTGGCCCGCAAAGTTAGCGCCATACACTGTATGCATCGTACCACCAAAGGTAGTAAAACGACGAACACGGGCTTTTACACCCGTTGAAGTGTATTCCTTGTTATATATTGAATTGGGATTTGCAGGCTGGAAGCAAAGAAGACGGTACGTCCGTCTATGTCGAGCAACTGTCCGAGATACTTTGCAAGCGGGACATCGACACGATATTGGACGATCGCACGCAACACACGATCGGTAAACGGCTGATACTCGCGCGTGCATCGGGCTACCCTTACATAATTGTCATTGGCAAAGCGGCAACCCAATCGGTTCCTCTATTCGAAATTCACGATGTGAACAATTCGACTTATCAAGAATTATCATTGGATCAGATAAGCGATTATTTTGGTAATATAAATTGTAAAAATTAAGAAACGATACATATACAGTATGTAGGGAATAAAACTAAGTTGTATTTTTATATATCTTTACAATGTGACTGTACATTTTCATGAATAATAGCAGTTTCTTATTGTTCGTGTGATAGTCTTTGCATTATTCACACACAGAATATTTTAGAGGATGTTATTCTTAGAAAATACGAAAGGTAAGAAACTGAAGAATTATAACAAACCTCGAAAAAAATAATAAGACGTTAAACAATTTTCAGACATATCTCCGTATGTATTCATCTTTGATTATAAGATAAACTTACTGGGAATATACGTATAAGAGGAGGATAAGTCATAACAATGCAATAACACACAATATTGAAAATATATTGCAATATATACGCTTTTACATTTTATGAAATATTCGAAAGCTCTTCTAATATAGTTTGCGTATCTAAAGTATTAAGATCTATCGAAGCCCGTGTGTCCACGATCACTCCAGTCACCTAAAAGCAATGACGTTTAAAATGTCGTTTCAATATCAAAATTTTGAAGCAAAGCAAGTATATGAATGTATTTTGTTACCATCTCCTCGAAAAACGCAGTATGATTAGGCTTTTCCGAGTATCTCTCGTACTGATCGAGATTATCCTGCAGTTTTAAAGCCAGACTGTCGTAATTCTGTATTATAATAGCTAGAATTTGTTGTTCCGTCGGTGTCGACAGGCTTTCCTTCGCCAGCCACGCAGCTATCTTTGGTGGAAAATGATTTACTATATCCCTCACATTGACGAGAGAATTCGTTAATTTGAGCGCGTGTTCTTTGTACTCGTACGATTCACTAGTCGAATACCTGAGTGCTAGAACATTTCCAGACATATTCATTATAAAATACTGTCATTTACTATTTGTTCTAATTCGTTTGTGGAATGAAAATCTTGTACCATTATCAGCTACTTACCCATGGCATTTAGATTGGTGAAGATAAGTCTCATGCGAATAATTTCGTAAAACAATTCGTCGTAACTATTGGGCGACGATAGGAATGTATCGGCGTACGTGATAAAGAAATTTAAAATGTTCACCACCTGTCAAAAGTAGCCAAGGTGTCATATTGTTCGATCGTACGACGATGCAATTTTTCAAATGTCTCATTACCTGAATAGCTAAAGGAAATATGTTCATTTTTTTAATAAGATGGCTTTCGTGCGTTGTTAAAAATTTAAGTAGATTGATTAACGCGGTCCAAAGATCCCGCCACTGATAGCCAAGCCTCACGCGGCACCTTTTCTGATAGCACAGTAATCTTTGCAAAACGCCGATACACTGATGATATAACTCGAGCGGAAATTTCTTCATCATGTGCGACGCCACGAACTCGACGAGCAGATCTGCAATGGCACGATAACAATCCTTTCAAGTGGCGCGACGAAAAACGGGCGTTCAAAATATTCATCAATTTCTTGTAACTCGTCTCGAAATTTAGACAACTTGTAGTTGCAAAATATTTGATAAGCTGAAAGCCGCCAATGCTTCAGCACCGATGGAACTCTGCCCATGTTTGACTTCTTATTATATTTTGAGAGAACATATAACTTCTGAAACATATACTGAAAAGATACCGAGTAAGGTAGCGGCAAGCGGTTGAGCCGGAGCTGCCTTGTCCTGCAACTTTCTATGGTGCATAGGTACTCTGTGTAACTGAACTCTGAATGCCAAATTCGCGTCGTGCATTAAACTGTTTGCATATTGGTCCTCCGCGATGCAGCTTAGTATCAAGAAGCACAGTTTCACATTATTCATTATAGCCTCCGTTCGAATTACTTGCATAACTATCGAACTGTAACGCAAAGACGGATATCTCACAATTGTTAAGCGGTGAACTAGAAAACACATCTTAATAACTTAATTCCTTTTCTTCTCACCAATACTGCAGGAAGGTTGCTAGTAGATTGAACGGCTGGGCCATCACATCGGGTGGCGAGGCACCAGGAGCTACCGCGTTTGGACCCAGGGTATTATTCGGCGACGGGGGTGCGCTGGTATCGCTTTGCGTATAGGCCAAAGTAGTTACAAAATTACGATTTAAGTGCGTAGCTTCGTACAAAGCCAAAAGTAGGGCGTTATTCGCGCGAACTTGTTGCGTTTTCGCTTCTTCCTCGCCGACGAACATGCTACCAACTATACTAGTTAACGAAGACAGCCAAGACGCTTGTATTTCTGAAAATTTGTCGCATTATTGTCATACTGGAACACGTTTACGTTGTATATTGATTGTCTAAACGGTACGTTGCCACAATGGACTGTTATTGTGTTCGCAATACCTGCTCTTTGCTGAGCGAATTGCCGGCAAAATTCCGTCAGCGAACTCGATATAGCTTGTCCGTACCCGTTGAGAGCTAATTCATCGTCCAAAATTGACAACTTGACGATATAAGGATTTGCACTTTCGTATTTCCGATAGTTGACTAGAAGCGTCAGCAGTAAGACCGCATCGTGACCGTGGCGATTTCTAGCAGCTGTATCTCTCAGTAACTACATCACAAAGTGATACGAGCGGCTATTAGTAAAATCGAACTTCGTTCAGAATTGCGAATTTTCTTGAAGGAAAAGTCTCAAGAGGAATTACGGTTCGCGAGTGTCCAACGTACTTGAATGAGCGATTCGAAAACGCTGTTTAACATCACATATTCCAGTAAGGTATTTTGGCTGATATTATCCATACCGGTAACTATTATTAATAACAATTTCAGGCACAAAGCTTTCAAACTATCTGGATATTCACCTAAAAGAGAAACGCATATTCTTCTCTCCCATTGTTATTAATTTTTTTTTTAAACAAAGGAAAGTCCCCTATTATGCGATAGACTCCTAATATGAAATAGTGGGGGGGATTTCTGTTAAATTAATAGGCGTCATCTGATTCCATCGTGAATTCATTGTCCTTGCGGTAAAATTTGTCTAGTGGCAAATTCATTAGACTGCGTAACCGTTGCGAAAGATTTGCGATTGAATTTGGGCGTTGTAAACCTGCTATCTCATAAGAGGACTTTCCTCTATATATAATAAGCGCTAGATAAATTGTGATCCGTTTCGAGAGTAACGCTCTGAAATTACTGGCTGTATGTTACCTGTTAAAAAATTATTACAATGCTGCATTAGCGTGGTCATCCGTTGCTCCGCGGAGTCGAAGCCCACCAGAATATCTATCAAATTAAATCCATAGTCCCCCTGATTGGCCTTCTTGTACATAGACTGGATGACGGCCGCCAAGGTTTGCAGCGCGTACACTATTCTAAATGGATGCTCGTCGACCAACGTGTCGACACAGTGGCACACCAATGCGTTCAGATTTTCCTTGCTAGCGTTTAGCTGCTCCGACGTCATATGCAGAATTTCATTTTCGATGTGAGGTACCTGAAACGATGGAACGATCGTACCAGGCAGATAAAAAAATAGCAATAGCCGGTACCAGGACACGCACCATGGGTTTAATGAGGAACAGTTCATTCCAGAAATTTGGATGAGCTAGCGTCAGGTCTTCGCCCTTGAAGAAACTCTCGTAGATCGGCACCAGCTTGCATTTGTGTTGACGCTTGGCACCGGAGCCACTCCTCTTCCTCATAGCCATTGGTACAGCTTAGTTATTTGCCTCCGTTCATATTCAAACTCTAGAAACGTGTCGACACGTAAGTACAATGCTCTCGCAACAATATGTTCCTGATAATATTAAATTTTCTTCAAACAACATTTTGCAAAACCGCACAATGCATCCTGCATATTCACCTAACTCCCTGTATAGTTAATCAAACGATTATATATTTGTCAAAATCAACATGCATAATATAAATATAACATTTTAGTGCAACATCGTTACATGATCTGTTAAGTCTATCGTGGCCTGAAAGATGTAAAATTGTAGAGATCAACGAAGGATTACCCAATGTTAAATTCTCACCAAACTTCCTGGAATTTATATATTGTAAATATATTGCGAGGCAGCCAGTCTTTACATTCGATATTGTTCGGTTAAAAAAAATAGTGCTTCTAGGTTATAAAACCAACTTATCGGCGAGCGTGCGCATTCTCTCCTCGAATTGATCTCGAAGATATCGAAGACCTCGTGCGGCAAGAGCGCGAAATTCCGAATTCAGAACCGCTAATTCAAAAAAGTTTACAGATTGCATTTAGAAGCGTGGAGCTTCTCTACATTCTCAATCGATGTATATAACTTTATTAAAAATTCCTTACATTCGTTTACAGACCGAAGGAAGGACAATGCAATTCATTGTTACAAACTCTCGTGACTTCACGCAAATATTATTGCTCAGATTGTTCGTACAAAATTGTGTATAACTGCGACAATTACACAATATTAATTCATTATAATACATAATTATTTATAAAAATGCAAATTTTATTCGGCCACAGCTGGCCACATTTGTTAATTTCTCTGCCAATGCAGAAAAGTTATTGCGAAAAATATTACCTCAGTCAGGGTTTGAACCTGGACCTCCCTACACTCTAGGCTGTGGTCGAATAAAATTTGGAACTTTAGTTACACTGGCAATTTGAAGAAACCAATCTTTAACAATGATTTATATCTAAGAATTATTGCACCTTCGTCGTAGTTTAGAGAAAAGAATGTTTGAAGAATCAGCTTGGAAGAACCGCAATTTCCTCCAAATATATCCAAAATCTCTTCATACGGTAATATCACAAATCTTTTGCGGAGTATTAGATTTTTGACTCGCATGGTTCAACATAAATTGTGTGATCAACGTAAAGTCAATTCATTGCTTCAGTTGAATTTTGATTTTGTGATACGCGTTGCAGAGCAATCCTCGTATGTTATAGATGTTCTCGAAGCTTTCTGGTTGCACATTGTACGCCGAATCGACTGCTTTAGCCCAGATTTCAACCTCTTTTGAATTCTTGCTCACAGGAAGTTCCACGTTCCACAACGTCCAACTCCAGTATCGGCCTTGCTTCGCCTCAAGATCTTCCGTGAAATCTGCCGTGTGCCAGGTCTTGCCTTTGTAAACAGCGAAAAGAAATGTCAATGAGGGATCGTTAAAAGGAAGCAAAATAATCGACTCGACATTTCGACATCAATCGACGAGTCATTTCTCGCTGGGTTGCCTTTCTCACCTTTATCATTAGTGACGTCGATACGGATTATCTTCCGGCCACCACCGGACCACGCGTAGCCTAAAATGGCAATTTTATTTTACAAACATTAACGAAATTTAGGATACGACGCTTGTCGCAAAATAATGAAGCCGATTCGTGTTGCAATTCGGTGCCACGTGATCGCTCCATGTGCGATTTTACCTTTCACTTGAATTTTCCCATTCTTGATTTCGACCACATCCGAATTTTGCGGGTCGCATATCGCCGATATTACAGGCATTTCTTGTATCGCGGGCGATTTACTGAAGTCCACATTGTCCCAATCTGTGCTTGGAGAGAAACCCTTGTAATCGCCCTGTTGCCACTGCGACGGACTCTCTTCCTTCGATACGATAATTTTACCTGAAAGTATAGCTTAATATAAGCGCAAATTCAGTGATTATGCGCAATCGGGCTCTTGAGAGTTTTCCATACTCAGCCATTTCACGTTCCTAGCGCCCACGACACCAGGCACGATTACCCTAATCGGAAATCCGTGATCTTTGCTCAACGGTTCACCGTTCATTTCATACGCCAGGATCACGTCCGCTCTCGGGTCCATTGCTTTACAGATAGGAATGCTTGCTCCATACGGCATACCAGCTGGATCTAGATCGTATCCTTCAAACTGACAAAAATAATATAAACTTTTCTCAGTGCCTTTCCGATGTGAATGATAAATTACTTGCTGCGATAGTTTATTAATTGTGCACAATATTAAAGGTATGAAATATTTAGACATTAACACCCTGTCACGGCTCTTAGTCCTCCACTCCTTCAAATTTGTGTTTATCACATTTGAGCCATACAAATTTTATTAAAGAATTACTATTACTGGGAGGTTTAAATATAGTATACTTATGTAAAATGAGGCTACTTTTATCGCGGAAAATACCTGAACGTGATCAAAGGCATCTTCATCGATTCCTAAATCTTTCAATACGTCGCACAATAGTACACCCGTCCAGGTTGCATTTCCAACAGCGCCAACGTTCCAGTTAATGCCTTTCAATTTCTTTACCTGTAATCAAAATTAAACGCCACGTATCTGCCATTAATTTCAGCGAATTTGAGCGGCAATTCCTTATTCTTCGACGGATCTACCTTGGACATTTCCGAGCGCCTGTTTCCGCCGCACATTACAGCCGCTGTTATCGTCCTCTTCTTATACTTTGTTATCGCTTCGAAGTCGAGCGTCTTTTTGGTCGTCCCTTCTATCGCCAATTCTAGCGTGTAATCCTTCAAGTCTATCTGAGGAACGGGCAAGTGATTTCTCACATAAAAGAAGTCACTGAAAAACAGCAGGGCGTAAATATCCGCGGGACCAAATTGAAACATGTGAAGTTCTCTATTACAAGACAGGCTTCTAATGTGAGACAGCAGGTTTTCAACGCCCAAATTCAATCGCAAACGCTTTTGACGCAACGATTACCACAATCCACCAATGAAAGGGCAATAAATTCATGCTGGAATCAACAGACGACGCCTATTAATTTAGCAGAAACCCGGCTACCTCATAATAGGGGACTTTCCTCTCTCATAAAACGAAAGACAAGCAATTTAAATAATGTACACTCACGCCGGCGTGAGAAAACTCTCGGTCAACAGCGGCGATGCCGGTTCCGCGCAGAAGGGCTTGTGGCCGTTGATCGTCAGGGCCTTGTGCCTGGCGGGCTCGTTCGCGTACGGATCGTACGAGTCGCTTGTATTAGACTCGGCGTCCGCCGCCGATATATTTCCGATCCTCATGGACTCCAGCAGCTCGCGAATCTCCGGCGTGTTGTGATTCGCGAAGATGCTCCAGAACGGATCGATGGATCCCCCGGCGGCCATCAGGATCTTGGACGGACCACCCGGATGCTTCTCGACGAAATCCGTGATGTCATACACGCCCTGGCCAAAGGTGACCCAGATGCGCTTCTCTTTGCTGTCGTGCCTGCCCACCTCCTCCAAGGTGTAGGTCTTCATGTCCTTTCGCAATTCACCACAGTGTACGCTCGGCTCGGCCGCGCTGAGAGCATAGACGCTTCGTCTCTTGTGTTTGAAAATGTAGTAAGATATACCTAAGGCGGCGAAGGTCATGCACGTCGTGTACAACACAGCGGGATCACGCGCGTCCCTGCTGGAGCCACGCTCCCTCTGCGTGGGGCATTGCCGGCAGGCATTGTACCTTCTCACCGCCACCTGCAGCAGCGGTACCTGCGACCTGGAACGAATTGGCGGCGCGTGAAACTCGCAGAAATCATCCGTACGCGCCGCAAAGGGTGGAATAGTTAATTTAATAGTTTTAAGAGGGCGAAGCCAGTACATCTAGATTGTATACCTCTGTCTCATTCCGCGTAATATCTTCGAGCGTAAACTCATAGTGTTGACGTTGCGAACGGACTGTTCGCAGTGTTTACTCTTCTTTCGCCGCGGGGGCCAACGGCGTAACCGCGAAACGTAAACCGGTGTCAACCGGTTAAACGACGTCTCAATAATATCATGGAGAGGAGATAAGCTCAGCTGCGAGGGAAAGTGTCGTCACTCTTCAGCTGAACTGAGCTGCACTAGTTCAGAGTTGATCTTTCTTCTTCCAGTGTGGCAGGAAGGAGATAAACTCCTAACTGGCGCAGCAAGTTCAGCTAGAAAGAACAGATCCGGTGACCCAAAGTGTAGCACTCTCTGCACCCGCGGCGAGGACACTCATATATAGAGATCAGTGGTATCTTTACACCAATTACACCGTGTCTCGAGTCTCGACGTGCCGCTGGGAACGGCGCATGCGCGGCCTGGGCTCGCCGCCAGCAGGGACCGAGTTGACGCGGCCCGTGCGACCGACACTGACGTTTGTGCGTTGACAGTTGGCGTGCACGTTGACGACTATCGCGCGCGGGTACACACGTATCCCCGTCCGTTATTCGCGGGTGGTTTCGGATGCGCACCGCGGCCCGCGACCCGCCAGCAATGCCGGGCCTCGGCGGGCCCCTCGCGGACACCGCGAAGTCGTGAGACACGGCCCAGCCAGGCGAGGCATGGGCGAGAGCGCGGAGCCTTTCGGGGACGGGACAGATTTCGCCGTGGAGCACGACCGGGTCGACTCGCCCGCGGGACACCACGTCCGTCTGCTCGAGGGTAGGAATCCCCGGTGAACGCGCGACGTATTCGTCGAGCCCGCGAGAGCCCGCACAGCTGTGTGCACAGCATTAGCTCGCGGGCTAATATCAACGGCGAAAGAGCGCGTTCTTTGAGATAAAACGTACGGGCGGGCGCTATTTCCGCAACGCTCTAATCTCCACTGTTATTTCCTGCGCTCTTTTCTTTCTTCCAGGAGAAATCGAATGGCGTATCAAGCGCGTTGTCCTGGGACGCCGTAGAGATACACGCTGTTGTTTCTGTCGAGTCTCTCCAAGTGGGTGCAGCTTTCCAGCGAGAGGCACAGATTGACCGCAGTGTACCGCACGGAATCGTTTTATCCACGTTTAATATCGGCAGGCAAAGATTAAGCGGAGTCACTGTGTTGCACAGTGTCGCGTGTGTGCGTTGCTGGAAAGCAGCCCCGTGTCATGGTTGATTGTAAAGGCTGCGTTCCGATATTCACTGCCAGTACTTAAAGTCTATAGTTTACGTCACGTATACTATGCATTTTCAGTACTGGCAGTGAATATCGGAACGCAGCCAAAGCCTGGTCTGCAGTGTGTGCTTTGCATCTGGAAACATTCTGTTTTATTTAAGCAAATCAAAGTGCTTGAAAACTTTGTCGACAACGTACGATTGTACAATGTATCGAATTGCGCAAATTTTTTAAATGTATTTATCGCCCACAAAATAGAATGTTTCTAGATGCAAGGAGCACGTTGTAGATTAGGCTTAAGATACATGTATAGTACAAGGGTGAGGGATATGATTAACATTTTCTTCAGGGCATAATTGAGCAGAGTTTGGTATCTCGACTTTTTTTTCATTAAAGATACAGATCCAAGATAAATCTTATTAACGTGAAGCCCCAAGTAGATCGCGGACAACATATGTATGTTCCTTGTGCAAGTTTAGTCTATTATTCGATGGTCTTTAAGCACTTAATTAATTTCCGAGGAAGATAATGACGATCAATTTTATTTTCGCGCCAGGAATGACAATGCAGGATGACACTTTGCAAGTTGGGGGCGATCGTCGTGGAAGCAACATGTTCGAAAGCAAAAGCGACTCGGCGTTATCGAGGCGGAACCCTGGGTCGGTGAAATCAAATTGTTCAACGGGCAACATCAGCTCAGCGGTCACTTTCGAGGGGGACAAGTCTATCGCCGATAATCCCAATGCCAGACTTCAAGCTTGCCAGTTATCCAGCAGCGAGAGTCGCCTCTCGTACGACGAGGAATCTCTTCGCAGTTCACATTCCCGCTGCACGAGCGCCTCATTGCCCGCGATACCGTCCTTGGATTCGTACTCGGTCAGAAATCGAGCCGACGCGTCTGGAAAGGATGCACCCGCGCAGGGCAACGTAGCGACAGCCTGCACCGACGAGGAAGAGACGTTGTTCAATCGTTCAACCGAGTTGAAAAATCCTTTATCCGAGTCAGAATGTTCCGTAAATAAAAAGACTACTGAAACGTGTCGGAGGGATTCGACGGAGGATGAGCAGGAGACAAATTGTCTCGAAGGAAGGATCGCGGAAAGCGGTGTATCCGAAGCGAAGCGATTTTGCGAGGAAACGCCGGATTCGCGATTACGGACGAACGGCGGCATGAATGAGCGAGGTCAAGTTGTGGACGTGTGCAAGAGGAATTCAACTCCGACACTAGGTATTCACGCGCGAGGTTCGGCAACTCGACCGACGTTAGCCGATGACAGTAAACTCGTGAAAATGTCTCTTCTGGCGAATCCGATGAACATAATGCAGTCGAACGTTCAGCTCTTGAACAAGAGCCGCAACTTTTTGGATTTCATCACAGAGAAGTCGACGAACATCATGGAAAAGGTTCTTCTGCCGCAGCATCTGGCGATCATTCACACCATAAAATCGATGGAGACCGATGCCGCGGGATTTGGCACCGATAACGTAGCGTTTAGATTAAATGCGGGTTTCGCGACCAATCGGATTAATACGACGGACTGCGCGGTGAGGCAAAATCACGACAGGAGCGAAGATAACTCGGGGAGCGTAACGCGTAAGAACGAGAAAGAAGCAGACGCGTGTACGAAGAAAAATGAAACGTACGACGATTCTGAAGGACGACTGTTATATAATAACAATCTTGAGAATGAAACAGTATCGGGCAAAAAAAAATATCATGCACTTACAAACAATGACTTCAATAGATTAGATTGTGACGTAATCGATGATGAACGCGATGTGTCGTCGGCGGGGACGGGCGAGGACAAGAGTTGTCTGCAGACAGACGAGTTGTACGATGACGCGTGCAAGGAAGACTCGTCTGATATTGATGCACTAGCAGATTCGAGTAACTTGAAATACGGCTCGTCGGAGCATTCGTCGTATCTTGCCTTGTTGAAAGATTATGGCAGTTTAAAACTCGAGCATTCGAAACTGCTGGAGAGAATGGAGTATTTAAAGAAGTTAAGTCGACCGAGCAGCTGTCAGGAAACCGAGGCGGGCGCGAATACGCTTATCTTACAAGTGGAGAACTTGGAGAAAACTGTAAATAAATTAACGGCCGACTTGAACACGTCGCTGGACACGCAGGAGGCTCTGAAGAAGGAGTGCGCCGCGGTTAGTAAGGAGAAGGAAAACATGGTCATGAGATACGTGACCAGCGAGAAACAGTTGATCGATACGCAAAGGTACTTGTTGGGAGAATAATTTGTAATTTGTAAGCCGCGATACTTTTTAGGCAGGATCGACAAAAGTTGTAAAATTTAGCATTGAGATAAGAGAAATAATTTTCAACCCACACGTATCTCAAATTGATAAAAGAAAAGGGAGAGTGTCTTCAAGGTGTTTCCGTACTCTTGTATGTTGCCACTTTGTCGGTCATGCCTGAAAAAGATTTAGAGCACGAAAACCGGAGGCCGGGCATATTATAAGCAGCCAATGACTGACTTCGTTATTCGTGTAAATCAATATTTAGATATTAAATTTCACCTACGATTGCTTTGTCAATTCTAATTCGCGGTGTATGCAACGCACAGAGCCAGGGATTCCACGGAACGCAAAGTTAAGGAGCTTCAAAAGGATCAGGAGTTACTGCAAGGCAAATTGCGCCAAGCGCAGGGTGAGCGCGCGAGAATATGTAACATTCTGGACGGGAAGTGTCGCGAAGTCAGCGATCTTCAAAAGGAGATAGAGAATTTGAAGGAGGATGTTAAATTGAAAGAGATCAAGCTGAAGTGGACGCAAACTAAGCTTAAGACTGAAATGGAGTCGCAGAAGGATACTCAACAGAAATTGGATAAATCTTTGGTAAAGCAAAACACAATACAATTTTGTTTCTTACGTTATTCAAGTCTTGCTGAAAAGTAGGTTGAAAATTATATTTTAGATTGCCTAAATTTTTACTTCGGAAACTCTTAATCCAATCTTATTACATCATGTAACCATTGATCGCTATATGTTGCAGATGAAAATAAATGACATGAAAGAAGAGTGCGAGCAGATACGCCGCGAGACGCAGGAATCATTCCGTAAATTTCAGCAATCTGAAGAGAATAAGGCTGTGACGTTGGACCAACAGCTGAAAGAGCATCAGGCACGTTTGATCTTGGAAAGGCACGTTACGGAAGACAAGGAAACATTGAGGCTTCAATTGCAGAAGGAGCTAGAAGCACTGAAATCTAAGCAGCAGAACTTAATTGAAGAAAATAAGAAACTTAGCTTAACAGTACAAGAGTCTGAGAAAGTTCGATTAGATAATGAAAATGACTTGAGTGATTTAAGGTTCGTCGCGGATCAGCGTCAGCAACGAATCACTGAATTATTAAATAAAGTCTCCGAATTTGAAACGTTAAAACTTCAATTGCAACAGTAAGTACGTTAGACTATAATTTCGATATTATATGTCATAAATGAGATATTAACACAATATTATAGAAGATATAAAAAAAATAACTTATAGGTGGGACACACGTAAAAAATAAGAAAATTACATATTAAAAATATAGTTTCAAGACGTCTTTTATCCACAAATTCTTTGACTTAGTGATTGTCTGTGACTGATTTTGAGTTTAAAATTTGTTTAGCTACTATATTTTCATAACTTACAGATTTTATAATGTTAAATAATTTAATGATTATTTTAATGATCAAATATTAATTTTATATTTGTTTTATAGTAAAGAAGAATACGTAGTGTCAACCGAAGCAAAATTGCTGCAATTACAATCGACCAACGAGGAATTGCAATCCGACATGCAATCCTGCCGTCAGAAGGAAGCGAATATGTTAGACTTTACGCAAAAATTAACAGACAAGAACGTGCGTCTTCAATCGGAGTTTATCGCGATTCACACAAAGACAAATCATCTCGAGGCCGAACAAGGACCACTACGTGAATGTATCAACGAATTGACCGGTAGAGTTAAAACTTTAGAGGGAGATTTGACGCAAGAACGGAAGAAACGGAGGGAGGAGTGCGAGATTCTGGCTAAACATGTCGCCGAACAAACTCAACTTGCGCAGAACTTTGCCCAGAAGTTGGAGGATAGTCAGGGCGAAAATGCAGTATTAAAGAGAAAGCACCAAGCTTCGATAAAAGAAATGACACGGGAATTGCAACAATGTCGTAAAAAATTGGAAACGTTTGAAACCACATCTCCCAGTAATTCGTTGGATATTGCATCCAGGACTGGATCTAATACTTCCTTAGCAGGTGCGATATTGATTCGATACCTTATTAATGTTAATGAGTTGTAAATTTATAGTGGATTGTATCTCTTCTTTTAGGTGATACATCAAACGGTGCCTTATCAGATAACAACGCTAATAGTGAACACATTAACTCCATAGAACTTAATAAACAAGTGCTAGTGGATCGCATTATCAAGCTCCAGAATATAAATGCAAAAAGAGCTGAAAAGTTGGATTTTTTAAAAGGACATACACAGATGTTACTCGAAGACATACAGAAGAAAGATAAAATAATACAAAATTATATTTTACATCAAAACTTTGGAGCTTTGGCATGTAACGAAAGAGATAGATACAAGGTATATTAAGAAAGTTTTTTAATTATATTTTATATATAGAATAAAGATGGATTAAAAATATTGCGTTCAAATCGCTCTGTTTTTACTAGATTAAAATCTTTATAATAATAGATATTTTCGTTTTTTGTATCCAAGCATATCAAAAGCAGAAGAGATATAGTAAGTCAGAAAACAGATTCTTTAAATAATGTTAGGAAGCATTGTCAAAGTTATTAATTTTTATACATATACACATGTATATTTATATTTTATGTTTATACATTTATTCTGAACGAGATATATACACTTGCAGGCGGAATTGGCCCGACGTGGAGGTATAATGGCATCCGTTTACAATCATCGAGTTTCGGATGAGAATATGACTCTCGAACTTTCTTTAGAAATAAACCAAAAGTTACAAGCTGTTCTCGAAGACGCATTACTGAAAAACATCACCTTGAAGGTACAAAATAATTTAATATTAAACTATTAAACATATGAGCGGTTGCACGTTAAAACAATGTTTAGAGTTAATCTCTAGATTCCTTATTTCTTGGAATTTAATTTTATAATTTAATTAAAACAAGGGAATCACTTTTCTGCTCCAAAAATTATTCTTTTATTAATTAATGTAATTTTTTATTTTAAATAGATAATATTCCATCTTTATTAAGATTTTACAATTTATTATCGTTTAAAATAAAATTTTATTATTCTTACAGGACAATATTGACACATTAGGTAAAGAGATAGCGAAATTAACAATGGAGCATCAACAAAAACAAATTGACAATTAATAATTAGTTATTACATGTATAAGTATGTATATATACTCACGTATACATAAATTATATCATATTATATATATGTATATTACAATTATTTTGAATTGCATTTAGAAATATTTGTACTTATGTAAATTTATTTATTGTATTTAATTAAATGCATGTTTATATATGCTATACATATATATACAATATATACACACGAGCGTGTATGTTGCAAACGGAAACATATTTCTTATACATGTTTCAATGCTTCAAGATAGATTCAGAAAGACAAAACCATGTTTAACGTCACGTATTATAAAGTTGTTTAAAGAATATGACATCATGTATTTCATTTAGTTGAAACTAGAAAAGATTCCCTATGAAAACACTATAAGATGGAAAAATATTTATTAGAAAAAGATTTTAGGTAGTTTGATTTAAAGAAAATAAAATAAAAATATTTTTTCTATTTTTAAACTCGGAAGATTTTTTTACAAAGATATCAAATAAAAAGTCTCTATCAAAATTGTAAATAACAAAACATTTTATTTAATTGTAAGAAGAATGCAGCGATAGTTCAAATTCATGACTTAAACAATTTTTTTTTTATAGAAGATTGCAATTGGTTTCGTGTCGTCAATTATAAGTGCCTCCAAAAAATTTATATTACTATCATTAAATTTACCATTGCCTTAAAAATGGAAGAATCGATAATTGAAAGTAAATTATTACTAAAGAGAAGAGGAATGGGAGGAGGTACAAGACGCTACAAATCTGGTAAATAAAAGTTTATTTTGCAAGATCAACACTAGATTGTTTTAATTTCTAAAGTACTTATATCTAGAGGCACTAGTCAAGCTTAAAACCTAACCGACTACAAGTTCATATTACACTCGATAATTATAATACTTGATTTATGCTCAGGATATCGACCATAGTACATACTTGAGCGTATAATGAAGGATTGTAATCGAAGTAAAATCGACTAAATCTAGTGATTAATATTCCTATCTTACTTTGAGTGGTTTACTTTGGGTCTTTTTTTTGTTCTTTTGAGGGTGAGCTATATTATTACTGTGAACTATCATACTATATTATACCGTATCATACTGCACGGTGCAATAATAAAATTCAATTGTATTATGCACGTAAGATACTCGTAAACTTACGTTTATGTGATGGAAGAAGAGATCAAAGGAAATCGATACCTAAAGTCTTACTCTACAATTATCATTACTCAATAAGATATACTATAAAAATGGACAGGTTTGTCGTATTGCGTATTTAACGATAAAATATCATTTGTCTTCTGACAGTTTCAATACCTAAAAATTATCTAACAATTAAAATCACCTCGTTTATCTTTTTAAATATTATGAACGTCAAATATTATAACGTCGTTAAAACACTACAAATATTAATACTGATAACTAATACCTCAATAATGGTAAGAACGCCGAGTTCAATGCTTATGTTACTTGGAGTGATAAAGAGAATTGCTATAGAATTATAGATTACTGCCTGTTTTATGCCACATACGATTTCCTTATAGAGTATTGCAGTGTTCTCGAACTTTAAATCACGCTTAAATTGTAAGTATATTTTTTTGTGCAAACGATAACTGAGTGGATACTCTGTGATCTTTCCAAGGAGTCGTGTAACTATGGTACATTTTTTAAACATTTTCTATCCTTTGTTCTAAATAAGCATTATTAGATACATGGCATGTAAAAAAACTGCGTACTTTCCTATTTCTTCTTTGTTTACTTTATGTGCAATCTTTTTTAAGAAAACGATTATTTTCGCTAGTTTTAAAGATGTACTTCCAAAGCCCAAATCTACTTATTCTCGAATCTTTTATCATTATCTGCATATTGTTGAGATTTGAAAAAAAAACTTTAGAAGTTCTTTCACCATTGATTAACGAAACATTCGACTAATAATTGAAAACATTAGAAAATATAATAAATTGGATGATAAACTGTTACAACAAGATCTGTTTTCGATAAATGTCTCTTCGTACTTTTTGTCGACCAAGGCGCAAGGAAGTAAAGAAAACGAAAGAATAATCGTTGAAATATCTCGTGAATACATTTTCAATTGAATAATAAATTAAGACAAACAATTCTTACAGTGCGAACAATTATCTTGTAGGTCAGACAGTAATCTCGATATTTCAGATAGAATTAGAATGGCTTTTACAAATTTTGCAACGTAATTGCAGTGCATTTACAGTAAGCGGCAAGTTATAATTGTATAGATCATATATATATATACAGGGTGTACTAAAACCACCGGAGGTCCTCTTAATGACATATTCCTTAGAACATCTCCAGACGAAAATTC